AATTACTACCTGCTGAGTCTGGCAGCTGCAGACCTCATCATAGGTGTTTTCTCCATGAATCTATACACCTCTTATATACTGATGGGTTACTGGGCCTTGGGAAACCTCGCCTGTGACTTGTGGTTGGCATTGGACTACGTAGCTAGCAATGCCTCAGTCATGAACCTGCTGGTGATCAGTTTTGACAGATATTTCTCCATCACCAGGCCTCTAACTTACAGGGCCAAACGGACTCCTAAACGAGCTGGGATCATGATAGGTTTAGCATGGCTAGTGTCACTTGTTCTGTGGGCCCCGCCTATTCTCTGCTGGCAGTACTTTGTTGGAAAGAGGACTGTACCCGAGAGGCAATGCCAAATCCAGTTTTTCTCTGAGCCTGTAATTACTTTTGGGACAGCTATTGCAGCCTTTTACGTCCCTGTATCTGTCATGACAATCCTCTACTGCAGAATCTACAAGGAGACAGAAAAGAGGACCAAAGATCTTGCAGAGCTTCAAGGGATTAACTGTTCTACAGAGTCTGGGGTGGCTCAGCCTCAGAAAACCATCATCAGATCTTGTTTTAGCTGTAAACTAAGCTCAGCATCACAAGACAGGAACCAGGCCTCGTGGTCCTCCTCCACCAGGAGCAACGCAGTCAAATCAGCAGCCACCACCAGCGATGAGTGGTCCAAAGCTGGTCAGCTGACCACCTTTAACAGCTACGCCTCCTCCGAGGACGAGGACAGGCCAGTGTCTCCAGGAGGCTTCCAGACCTCCTTCGGGAACCAGGCTTGCAAGGCCACCAAGAGTGGAGTATGCAGCGAGAGCGAGCAGCTCAGCAGCTACGATGAAGAGAGTTTCTTTCAGACGCCACCCAAAAGCAACTCCCAGAAGAGCAGCAAGTGCGTGTCCTACAAGTTTAAACCAGTGACCAAGGAAAGTCACACAGAGCACCAAAGCAGAAACGGAGACACGAAAATCACGTCGCCAACATTCTCCTCGGCCGAGTCCATGAGCGTTCCATCCACCTCCACCATGTCCAAGCCCATAGACACAACGCTGAAAAGCCAGATCACCAAGAGAAAAAGGATGGTGCTGATCAAGGAGAGAAAGGCAGCTCAAACTCTCAGCGCCATCCTGCTGGCCTTCATCTTAACATGGACTCCTTATAACATCATGGTGCTGATTTCTACCTTCTGCTCTCAATGCATCCCCGTCTCCCTCTGGCACCTGGGCTACTGGCTGTGCTACGTCAACAGCACCGTCAATCCCATGTGCTACGCCCTTTGCAACAAGACTTTCCAAAAGACCTTCCGCATGCTCTTACTCTGCCAGTGGAAAAAGAAAAGGATCGAAGAGAAACTATACTGGTATGGACAAAACCCCGTGGTCAGCTCTAAAATGACATGAAGAAGTTGTGAGACAGTGGCTGTAAATCACATGTTTGCACCAATAACTTTGGCTTTATGAACTTGTGCATACGTATTAGGTGATATCAAAAGATATCCAGAGCCTAGTACATCTTATAGTGCTGCTCATTAATCAGTAGGTCTGCTATAGTGTATGGTAATTGCTGCTGGAAGAATATTATATATTTTGTACACTGTATGTAGGGTCAAAAATATACAAAACAAACCAGTATTTTTCTCCAAGTTGAAGCACATTTACGCCATTGATTTACACAGCAGCACACTTTGATATATGGAGACCATCGTGAAGTTGCTCCAGTCTAAAAAGTCAAGCTGATGCACTCATACCCAAAATGTCACAAGACACACAGAGCTCTTAAATTCTTAAAGTATTGTGCTTGTACTGATGAGGCGTATTTCCAAATGGCTGTCGTTGTTTTTTTTTAAAAGGGCTAATATGCTTCATCGTGATGTTGGACTCTTGCTGTGCCACTGTAATTTGTCCAATGAATAAATGTGTAGAGAGTCAGCTTCATTGTTTTGTCATCACTTGCTATGATTTTCATGTCGTGCGAAATCCCAGTGCAAAATACGGTTATAGGAATCATGCGTAAAAGGCATTAATGGATCACTTGAGTTTACCGATTGGGAATAACTAACTTGTTGATAATGTCAGTGTTTACATTGGAGGTTTTGTGGAGGATTTAACAGCTCACACTGTTTATGAATTCTCTTTATTACATTTTATTCTCAGGATATTTTCTTTTTCATTAAGCATTGAACTACAGTATGTTTTACTGTGGCTAAATCAATATCACTGTATTTCTGGCAAACTTGTAATGTACTGTGGAAAATGTGTTGGTGCGCTGCTCCTTTGTGTACCCACTGAATGGACAGGCTATTTTATTTCTTTTATCTGTCATAAGCTATAATGCCATGAAACACTTCTTGGTAACTGTGATAAACCAGGAGTCTGCACTTGCAATTATCAGAAAGAAAAAAACAAAACTAAAAAACATGCTTTGCTTCAAGTATACTGACTTGGTGTGTGATGGAAACAAAGCTAGAGCTAAATCTGTACTGCGACTTTTTACTGTATTTCAAGTTTGTGATGCGTTTTTGTTTCTTTTCAGTATTTTGTGATCATGTCCATGCATTTTTCAATAAAATGTGGTCAATAGAAGGTCCAGTAGTCACTACAAGAAAATCCCTGATATCACCCATTGTTGTGTTTAATGACAAAAACTCAAATCTGGCACAAATCCTGGGAATGACGTCCTTATAGCTCATCCTTCTTGCAGTCTCCACTCTGAATCAGTTTCACTGTGTCAGAAGGTCTCACCATCATCCATGCATACTTGCACAGCCGCTCCTTGTTGCAGTCTTTTCGCCAGTAGATGACATTTCTGCGATTCAGATTGGCGCCGGCGCAGGCGTCGTACCACCAGCCTCCTCCCGGCACCCCTTGAAACTCCAGTTTGGCACAGTTCTGGAAGTAGTTATCATTGTCTCTGTCTTTAGTGGTGAATTTCTGGTTGTCATGGAGATAGTTCTCTGTATCCAGCGTCAGAGCGTCTACGGTCGTTCCCTCAAACAACCCCAGTCTCAGTCTATAAGCTGATGCTTCATCCTCCACCAGGAATGGATCATACTCTCCCATCTTTGTAACGGCATCTTGGTCCACAAGTTTTATTCCTAGTTTATAGCGTGCAGGCCCACGGGTAAGCTGATGAAGGTAGTCATTCCCAAGCCAATGATCTCCAGTGATAAAACCAAAGCCTTTCTTATATTCAGCCCAAGTGCGATCAAAATTCACACTGCTATTCACAGTAATGTGCTGCACCACAGTCCAGCCTCCCTCCTGCATGGCACAGTAGGCCACAATGGGGGAGTCCCCTGGTTGGATCAGGTACACTCCGTCTCTGGCCTGGCCTGAAGAGGCCATCAGCATTTCATAGCAGTCTCTGGGCAGCACTGTTGAGCAATTAAACATCAGTCATATCAAAACTAATACCAGGCAATCAGAATTACTTTACAGCTAAGAATTAGGCAGGTTTATCATATACATCACACATCGAGTCTATTACTCCATTACTAGCTTTTTTGATAATTACCACATATTTGTTTTGTCTTCATTTAGTACAAAAAGGTTTAACGTGTGAAAATGACAGTTATTTCACAAAGTTTATGTACTGATCCTCGACTCAGTGGAGTAGCTTTCTAAATTCTGTAATATTATCGTGATTGAAATGTAAAATTGAAATAACTTAAACAAATTACAAGCTGCTAACAGGTGAGCTTTTTAGCTGCACATTAGTTT